ATAAATAAACGTTGAAAAAAAAAATTTTTTTTTAAAAAAAAAATAAATAAATACAGAGAACAAACCAGATGGTTGCCAGAGGGTAGAGAGGTGGGAACATGTACAAAATAGGTAAAAGGGATTAAGAAATACAAACTTCCAGTTATAAAATACATAAGTCACGGAGATGAAGAGTACAACATAGGGAATATAGTCAATAATATTGTATTAACATTGTATAGTGACAGATGGTATAACTACACTTATTGTGGTGAGTGAGCATTGTGTAATCTATAGAATTATCAAATCACTATGTTTTAAAACAAATACAACTTTATATGTCAACTATACTTAAATACAAAAAAAAATTTAAGATGGAGAAATTAAATTTAGAATTACACAAAGACTCTTAGATGGGAAAAAATTATTGGTTAGCAAGAGTACATTTTGGACTCTGAGGAAGCATCTGGTTTGGAAAACATGTTCTGCTTCAGGTCTCTAGATTTGGATCTTCAAGCTGGTTGACCCTTAGAAGTAAATGTCAGTTACATTTACCCTTCAGGTTTTCAGATGGCAGTTTCCTATTTTAACTTCTGTTGAGAAATAAACTTAAATATTTTTTTTCTGTAGTTCTATAAAACTGGTATTTGTTGTTTAGGCACTAGCTTCTGTCAGTAACATTTTAAAATGTTATTTACAAGCTTTGCAATTTTAGATATATTTGAGCCACTAAGAAGTCAATTTTGTATATTACCTCACCTTTAGATATATAACAATATTAGGATTTTGATTGCAAAAAATATATATATAATATAATAATATTAATAGAGTAGATTCAAGTTGTATAAAAATTATACAATTATTAGGTTTATAAAAGAAGGAGGAAAGAAGATTTATAGGTGACTTCTTCATTGACAAACTTGATTTGTTTTATATGATGATTAATCAGTTTTTTATGTACTTTTATATACATATATATTTATTACACATAGATAATACAGAAGCCCCCGAATTATGAAAAGAATAGGTTCAGAAAAGCTTGGGTGAATCCAGAGTAATCCTTCATAAATGAATACTATACTTTCGTTTCATGGCAGGTAGAGTTGGAATGATTTTGGTCTGGTATATACCTTTATTCACATCTATGAAAGTTTGTAAGAGGTTTGTTAAAGGAGGTACTTCTCTTTATATATATAAAGTGCTGCTTTTTTTTTTTTTTTTTAATCAGTTCTTTCATGTTTTCTTTGAATTTGGGCCTTAAGGACCTACGCTATGGAAAAAACACAACTCCACAGAGTATTATGTAAGAAGACACTTTCTTTTCTTCATTTCAGCCATATAAAGTTGCAGCACTCCATAGGATTAGAACCTAAAGGAAAATTTTGGGTAAACAGGTAACCTTTGAAAATAATGCATGGCTTCAATTCTGTATTCTTTAGCTTACTGATTTCCTACTAAACAATTAGCTTCCTTCCTGATGAAGTATAGAAAATGCTAGTAGTCACTAAAATCTTTTTGGATTTTCTGCAGGATTACTTTTTTGGGGCACTAAAATTATTAGGACTCTAAAATACACTAGTTAAGAGCAACTTTAGTTCAGATTGAATGCATTTACTTTCCAAAAGGGATGTACATTTCCAGAAGGTATGTAAATCAAATAACTTCTCTGCAGACTTACAGTATAATTTTTAGAGCTTTCTTTACCGCTGGCATCACTTGAACCATTTTCTTCTTTTTTTGCTGATTAGCCTGCTCCTATCCTCAAGTAATGAACGCATTGTAAATAAGAGAGCACATTTAGAAAGCAAACAATAATTTGTATTTGAGAAAGCTCCAACATTTGTTTTATTAATAACCTTCTGTGAGTGACAAAAACACAATTTGTGAGGTAAAAAGTATCCATGTAGACCCACAATAGTAGTTTTTCTCAGCCATCAGAGAGAGATTTATTTAGTTTTTACCATAAAATAAGTAAAATATAAAATATCCAAACAGTACTAAGGCTGTACAATAAAGTCACTTTTCTGCCTCAGACCTTATGCCTGGTTTCCCCATCAGAGATAATCACTAGTTTTAGTGTCTTATATTAGCATGGAGTATTTCTGGAATGATGTAAGTATACATATACTTCTTTTTATACAAATTAAAACACATTATGTATGCTTCTGCTTTTCATTTAATGTATCTGAGTTCTATGTGGAAAGAGTTTTAAAAATAATTTGTAGTTCTTTAGAATCTTCATAATATGATAGCTTATAAAAATCATAGTTGTTTGAATATTTTAACAACAAAATAGAAATGTAATTTCATCCTCATGGAAAATGTATGATAATCATGGCTACATAGATTGCCCTTTAGGTGTATTTTTAAACATTTTAACATCAACATCTAATTTAATGTAGTTATGAAATAGTGGAGAAATCTGCATTTAAAGTAGATTTCATTTGCCTGTCACCATAATCACTTAGCACTTTTTACCATAAAAATATACATCTGTCCAATGCATCGTGATTATCCATTTTTATTTTTCTCTAGTTTACAGTCTTTTTCAGAAACAGGAATTAGGTTAGGACTGGTTGTAATGTTTATAACAGAGAATGGAATTTTTAGGCCCTACTCTAGTAGCTGTGCAGTTAAACATTAGGAAGTACTCAGTAACCTAATAATATTCATGTCTGGTGGGTCATTTTTGTATCTTATGTAGCTATAATTAAAAGGAATCATATTTGGCTTTATAGTTGGACTTCATTATTATTAGGAACATTATTAACCTGCTCTGCATAATTATTTTGTTGTTGTGAGGTGGTATAGGATTTAGAACCAGACCAACCTGGATTCAAATCCTGTCTAGACCTCCAGTGTTAGCTCCATGTTAATAGGCTCTCTAAATCTTAATTTCTTTATTAATACAGTGGTAATAATAGGC